CAAGCAAAGGAAGATTGTGTACGTGGAGGACATGAATGTTGGCCTGGAAAGTGCTCCGGCTGCTTTTGTTGGGCTTTTCTCTGGGAAAAATGTGGGTAAGCAGGTCATTCGAGTTGCTGAAGCTTAACTGTACTTTTCTGGCTGTGGTGGTATTTCACTGGGTGGTGGCATATGAAATGGGTAATCACTTGTCCCGCCCCAACTAAAGGGATGAATTTATATGCAAGACAATCACACATTAGCTCATTCAATAAAACATGGAGATGATTTTGATTTTCTCCACATATGATGGTAATATTTGGAGGTTAATGGAGGTTAATTAACATTGAGCCACATGATTAGTTAACGGAGGTTAATTATCACTTCGGGCATGTTCTCTTAGATTAAATTATGCTAGCCTGGTCAATTTAAATATGTTTTGGTCCGTGAAGTCTAATATGTTCCGATCGGATTTGTTTATTTGGCATGTTCTTATATGGTTTAGTTGTAATGTTATGCGTTACACATTTAATATGTGTATTTTAAGTTATCTTTTTTATGCATGTCTGGATCACTGGATGTAGGGGTGGACTCGGGCCTCGGTTCATGAAAGGGGAGGCCCGGAACCGGCCCGGGTCAGGCCGGGCCTCGGTTCAATTTATTTATTTATTTTTTGGCTTTTCCTAATTAACCCCCAACCCTCCCCCTCACCCCCAAACCACCTCAAATGGCCCAAAATACCCAGCCCAACCCAAAAACTTAAAAAAATTCAAAAAAAAAAAGAAGAAAAATAAATTGGCCCGGACCGGGCCCGAACCGGCCGGGCTGGTTCACCTTTTGAGGAGCCCGAGTCTGGCCCGGAACCCCAGCGGGTCGGGCCTGCCCGGACCGGTCCCTGGCCGGGCCGGCGGTTCAGGCCGATTCAAACAGTGATCAGGTCGGGCCGGTTTCGGGCCGGTTCCGGGTCGGGCCGCCCGGCCCGAGTCCATCCCTAACTGGATGAATAATACCATTGAGGGATATGAGGTCCACAATTAAGTCACCCTCCCATGTGGTTAGGGCTGGACTCGGGCCGGGCGGCCCGACCCGGGACCGAACCGGCCCGGTCACTGTTTGGCCCGGCCCGGCCCGTGGCCCGGTGGGTCCACCGGTTCGGTTTGGCCCGGCCCGGGTGCTGGGCCGTCCGGGCTCGGGCCCAAGGTTTGGTGAACCGGCCAAGCCGGTTCGGGCCCGGTCCGGGCCGGATTTTAATTTTTTTTTTTTTTGAAATTTTTTTAAGTTTTAGGTTGGATTAGGTATTTTGGGCCATTTGAGGTGGTTTGGGATGGTTTGGGGTTGAGGGGGAGGGGTAGGGGATTAAATAGGAGAGAGAAAAAAAATTGGGCCGGTTCGGCCCGGCCCGGTTTGGCCCGGAACCGGAACCGGCCACCGGCGGTTCGGGCTTGGGCCTCCCTTTCCTGGCCCGAGGCCCAGCCGGGCCCAGGCCCGAACCGGGCCCGAACCGGCCCGAGTCCAGCCCTACATGTGGTTGATTAAGTGGGTAACTAAGTAATTAACTTTTAAATGCATAGAATGATATACTTTATCTCTTCAAAAAAAAAACGATAGACTTTATAGTTTATTAGTTTATACTCCGTGCAGTGGCGGAACTAGGGGGCGAGCCGGTGCTGCCCCCCCCCCCCCCCCGTTCGCCAGAGGTTATAGTGTATATGTGTGTGTGTGTGTGTAGAGTGGTCTTCATGTCAGGTCGGCCTGACGGGATGCTCCGTCCGGCCGAGCCCGTTTGGGCACCTTCTCGGTGGAATTTTTTGATAAAATTTTTTGAGCATGTTCCTCATCAAGTCTAGTTTGTCCATACCAAATTGCAGTTCAAAATTCAATCGGGAAGGCATTCAAATCATTTTTTGAAGTTGACTGCGTCAAAATATACATATAAAACTGCAGTCAACTTCAAAAAATTATTTGAATGCCTTCCGGATCGAATTTTGAGCTGAAATTTGGTATGGACAAACTAGACACGATGAGAAACATGATCAAAAAATTTCATCAAAAACTTCCACCGGGAAGGTGCCCAAACGGGCTCGGCCGGATGGAGCATCCCGTCAGGCCAGCCTGATATGAACATTTGTCTGTATATGTATATGCTCAGCCCCGTGTCACAAATAATACGTAGTAATAAGTATTAACCGACCCGTGTTTGGACTAATAGTTGCAGTAGCACTGATGGCTGAATCATTAAAGATCTTAACCTGAGATGCAGGTTCAAATACCACTGAGCTCCTTTTATTTAAGGCTTTTTTATTACTACGTTATTAGTTATTACACTTCCTCAGTTCCTCTTTCAACTTTATGGGATCTTATTAGTTTTAACATCTTTCCTTCTGCCACTCTAGATTTCTTTAACTTTTAAGTTACGTTTTTATTTTTCCAATTCAATTTTTCTTTTTTTTTTACTTTTTCGAATATTAACATGTTATTTCCTTTAACTATTTATTTCCTCCTATATCATTTTATAAAGAGTTTATCAAGAAAATTTTCAAAACGAATTGAACTTTACCATAACTATTTATTCCTTGGATTAGTACAATATGCCAAAATTTCTTGTGATATTTTAAATATCATCTTTTTATTAGTATAAATAGATTTATGTAATACATTTGCATAAACAAAACAAATATCCTCTTAAGATATAAATAACCTACAAGTAAAGTTGATTTGAAAAGAGAAAAATATAATTATTATTTTCTTGATAAATTAGTAGCTTATATATATATGTATATATATAATATTAATTTATCTTCCTCTACTTGTTTAGTTATATTTCTATTTAAACCATGTTATTCTAAAATAAAAAGACAAATGCATTAAATCGAAATAAACTTGTTTCATGAACGAAGTCTGTTATTTTGTTTAGGCTAGAACAAAACAAGTATAAAAATGAATAAATGTCTATATTTAAGTTGATATCTATATGTATGTGTGCGCTTGTGTGTGAATTATATATAGGTCCATATAAAGTATCACTTCGTGCAAATGAGAATAACTCTTCTGCATTGGATTTGAAATCAAATCCAATCAACCGTTCGAATTTTTTCGCCCCCCCCCCCCAAATTTTGTTCTGGTTCCGCCACTGATGTTGAATTGTCGTTAATTGCATCCACACGGAAGAAGACGAAGATAGATGGTAATAGAAGTAGGTACAATTGGCTAACTTTAATGTACAACTCATTAAAACACACTCTTACACCAACACATTTTTTATACCTATAATGACCTTACTCTCATTCACCATTATAATTTTTTAGGATATGAGTTTGAAATTGGTAGGGGAAATAAATCTATGACAGTGTTTGATGAATAAGATAGAAGAAAATGATATATGTATGTACATGTGCATTCGGATAGTCACGTGAATCTATCTACTTCCATGCACGTCAAATGCATGCAAAACTCAAACTTAATGAATGAGCATATTTAACATGTTTTCTCAAATTCAAAAGAGACTTTAATAATGTTAATTACATGTTACCTAAACGTGGATATTGAAAGAATGAAGCGAAGATAAAAATCATGACCACAATTTTTAAACTGACTTATGTGGCAAATTTACACTCCGTCAAAAGTAGAGTGGGGGATGCTTTTTGGAGGTGAATTAAAAGTTGTTAGCCAATAATGTGTAGGGTGTTGGAGTTTTTCTCTCTATCCATTAACTTAGACCTTATTTTTAGGTGCTTGTAGGCAAATCATACACCACTCATTCATTAGTATATTTATTAATTAATTTATGAAATACTTTATTGTGACTATCTCCGACATTAATCATATGACAACATTGATCGAAGGTAAGTGTTTTGATGTTTCTAACAGCCTCTTAATCATTAGGATGTAGATGTTGATGTATTCATCTATGTACTAATGAATAACTTTTGATTCATTCATAAAAGATGAACAAAGTATTACTCAACATCATATGAATTGTTCTGTTATCATATACGTAGTACTATCGTAAGAGATTATTAGCCCGGTGTTTGGGCGGGGTTGATAAGATGATCAAATTTATGCGCTTTAATATGAAATCAAGACAAACTGATATTGATAATAAAGATTTATTACTGCAGATAAAGTAGTTTTGGAGTTTCGAACAACAAAATGGGTAAACATCGATTATTAAATTTCATAAATCTAGACTTTTTGTGTGTTCATTAATATTAAAAGTATATAGTAAAAGTAAGGGGGGAAATGGCTTGTTTATAGGAGTGATGTGATTAAATCTTATAGTTCTAAATATATCAATAAGATATGTTTAAATTTTTAAAATTTTTGAATGTACTTCAGAAATTAAGATACTTCTGTTACACAATATACTAGTTACACAAGAGTTTATATTATTATTTTTATAGACGCCATTGATGTTTTACTTGTGTACTCCAATGTGAGACAAAAAAAGAATTTATTCTATAAGCTGTAAGTGGTATATAAATTCATTTCCAAAAATGGTTTCAAAACATATTATCGCATACTATAAATCACATCATTTCATGTGAAGGAATGTTTTGAGTGTGAAAATTGATAATGGATAGTAAATTACCCTAAACAAAATTGTTGAAAGTATCTCATATCAATGAAATAGAAATTAAAGAATCAATGAATAACTGTTGTTCAGTTATTGCCTCACACCTCTTGTATGATTGATTTAGTTCTAACACTTGTGTTCTTCATATTTCATGTATATTAAAGCCACACATTATCCGATTTGTGATCATGACAGTAGAACAACCTAAGAACAGTCCAGCAAAAAAACAAATGTTAGTCATGAGTGAGAGTTATGGAGTTATTTTATACTCCCTTCGTCCCGTTGGAATGTTCTCGTTCACTATTCATTGGTCAACTTAGGTCACTCCTAATCTTTTACTTTATATATCAAATTTTTTATCAAATTGAACTTTTCTTGATCAGGCTTTGTAGCGGTTTTAATGTAGTTTCTGAATATATAAATTTTATTTATTAAAAATAAGCCGAGTGTAAACAGGGATCGAGTTGCTTTATCGTCAGTCAAGCATCGTAAACTGAATGGGGACATCCCAATGGGACGGAGGGAGTAGTTTCGTAAGTGTGAATTTATCAATTAGACTATTAGAGAATCTCTTGATACGAGACACATAAATCATTCTTGTTCAAATCTTTTTTATGGTTGAATTAAACCGATCTAACTCTTAACGTATTTGTATTTTATACATTGATGCTTATTGAGGTGGCCTATTTTCCTGTAATTAAAAATTAATAATGCAAGGTATGTAGCTAGTTTAGTGTGTATTGATAGTATAACTTGAAAAAGTTTGATGTTAGTGTTAATATATATACAAATTTTGAATGGAAGGATATGACCCGCGAGATGAGGAAATTGTGTCCCAATTTTGATAGAGAAGATGGGCTAGAGACGGTGTTGGAAGTGCCAATTCCGGAGGAAATGTTTTCGAGCATGGGGAATAATGTTGCTGTTCGATGGCAAAACATGTCGACATGGATGAAAGCTCAAACATTGGATAAGTGGTCATCACCAGTTATTGTTGCCCGTTACAATGAGATGAGCTTCCTGCTGTATACTTTAGGATCTCCTTTGATCCCTCTCCAAGTTCATTTGGACCCTTCTGTTCAACGCCCTATAAAAAATTCCCCAATAGTAAGTATGCCTTTTAAATATAAGGGCTTATGCGCACTGTTAAAAATCAAAATCATGTTAAAAGATTAATGAACAAAGATTTTTGTTGTTTTCACCGATCAAGTGATTCTTAATATGTTTTGTGTTGTCAAATGAATCTAAATAAATTAAACTACTATTCACAACTATACAATTAAGTTATCCCTCACATCATATAAGAGGTAAGGGTCAGATTGGTACTCGAAGTTGCATAAAAGGGGTCAAATAAGTCCTTACTGTCCGACCGTCGCCATTTGAGGCGGTTCTTGGTGGAATTTTTTGATGAAATTGTTTGAGCATCTTATTCATTAAGTCTAGTTTAATCATACCAAATTTCAACTAAAACTTCAATCGGGAAGATATTCAAATAAATTCTTGAAGATAACTGCGCTTTTAACTGCGCAGTTATCTTCAAGAATTCATCTGAATGCCTTTCCGGTTGAATTTTAAGCTGAAATTTGGTATGAGTAAACTAGACTTAATGAATAAGATGCTCAAAATATTTTGTCAAAAAATTCCACCAGGAACCGCCCCAAATGGCGACGGCCAGACAGAACCTCCTATACAAGGACTTATTTGACCCTTTTTATGCAACTTCGAGTACCAATCTGACTCTTACCTCCATCATATAATTATGGAAACTTAAACATATGTTGAGAAGTGATACATTCCATTCCCAAAACTGGCCATCTAGCCAAATATTATGTTCTCAAGGATAAATTGAGCTATAATCAGAATCATTTTGGTAGATGATTAGGTCTGCACCTGCACTTATATGGACCCCTTGTTATCTATAGGGACCACTTATTAACCAATATTGTCTTTTATCGCAGTTTCCATAAATTAATATGGGTCTACAAACTAGTTGAGTTATGTGTACATGTAATTTAAGTATATATTACAACTTGTACACACACTATTGAATATTATCCTTAACAATGATGATAATATAGAATATAAGTGACTCAACTTAGAAAATTTCAAATAATTTAGGGACCAATCAAAACACTCAAATCCAATGCTATAAACATTCTTTTCAGTATCACTCATTTCAATAATAAAATGTGTAAGTGTGTGTGTAAGGAAAAAATTGAAGTAGTACTATAATTATAGTAAAATGCATGTTAGAAGAACAATAATATAGTGATGAAGTCAGGCCATGTTTCTAAAAAGATCACCTTATTTTTACATGTCCAATGCTCTTTTCTAATTGGTTCTGTAACACTCATACGTTTAGCAATATTTTAAAAATTCAATTTACAAAACTCATAACTAAAAAGAAAAAGTCGCCTAACAAGTGCATTATATTTGTCTCTTATGCATATTTTGTGATTACATTATCACAGGAGGCATCGACGGCTAAGTACATAATCACACAATACATTGCAGCAATAGGAGGACAAGCTATAATAAATAATGTGCGTAGCATGTGCATAATTGGACACATAAAGATTGGGACGTCTGATTTTCATCAAGGTGACCAAAATGTTAAAGCAAGGACAAATGAGGAGCGAGGTGGGTTTTTGCTTTGGCACAAGAACCCTAACCTATGGTGCCTTGAGATGCTCATATCTGGATGTAAAGTTATATCTGGAAGTAATGGTAAAATTGTTTGGAGGCAATCCTCTAATCAACAAAGGCCTATCAGTAAAGGCTCTCCCAGGCCTCTTCGTAGATTTTTGCAGGTATATATTACCAGTTAATATTTTTCATACAAAAATAATGGTTTCATAGGTTATTTTTTGGGATTCCCCGATCAGCACACAAGGTTTCCCATAAAATTTGAGTAGGTTGTTGCATAATTAAAATAATCATACAAAGATCGACTTTGTTGGCAAGGTTTTACTTTTACCATATGATTAATAAATAAATTTCTTTGAACCCTCAACAAAGATGTCATTTAATAGTGTATTGGAGGTAAATAGTTCATTTGGTACTTTATATTATACTATCCTATGTTTTATGTAGCTTTTATTTGTCAACTCTTTAGTGTGTCCGAATAGTGTCAAACGGATAAATTTAATTCAATTGAAAACGAATATACATATTAGATCAAGTGTCATATTACCTCGATGGAGAGAGAATTCTACGTGTCATATGACATGTATTGGCTCTTAGTCACACTACCATGATGTTTATGTGACAATTGAGCTCTGTTAATTTTTACATAAATTTACTCAAGTACAACGGAAATAAAACAATTCACAGCTTGGTGTGCAAGTCAAAGACATTCTTGAGTTAACAAAAAGATACAAATTGAATACTTGTAGTAATGTTTAAACATTGTACTTGCATTGAATCTGCTCCTTTTAGAAGATGATTATTCTTTTTATCCCCACCCCAAGTTCTAATCCAAACATGTTTGAAGAAGCATTGAATGCAACATAATACCGATGTTATAGGGTCTTGATCCCAGATCTATAGCCAACTTATTTATAGGCGCAGTGTGCATAGGGGAGAAGATAATAAATGGCGAAGATTGTTTCATACTTAAACTCGAGACTACGCAATCTGATTTAGAGGCACAAAGTGGTCCAAACTTTGAAATAATTCATCATACCATATGGGGATACTTTAGTCAAAGATCAGGACTTTTGGTGAAGTTCGAAGACTCGAGACTCCTCACCGTGAAATCGAGTAGAGAAGAAGAAGGGGTATTTTGGGAAACAAGCAATGAGTCCGTGATTGAAGACTATAAGTATGTGGATGGTGTTAATATTGCGCATGGCGGAAAAACTTTTGTCACTGTTTTCAGATATGGTGAACAATCAGCAAATCACAAGAGGGAACTACAAGAAACTTGGAAAATAGAAGATGTTGACTTTAATGTTGATGGCTTATCTGATGAGTTCTTCATGCCTCCTACCGAATTTAAGAAAGATTTTTGAGCTGGACAAAATGTATATGTTCCTTGAAGAATTAGCTAGCACTAACTTTTGTTTTTTGCTTTTTATGTTGATATTGTAAATTTGTGAGTTTTTTGCACACTTATTATTTGTTATGATTTTCTAAAGCAAAGTCGAAAAATATCACCCAAAACATACACAATGTCGTTAAAATGATGGAAATATAAATCCAAATTGCAATACTGAATCAAAACATATAGATTATAATACTAGCTACTCAGTAATGTTAAAAAGCATTGCACTTCAAATATGAAACATACATTTTAACAACTGAAGCACATACATGACTGCAACCACGTTGCTAAAAAACGGCTTAGTCAGACCGGTTAATTGACCTAGTCAACCAAAAAAATGGCCTAGTCGGTCCTCGCGTCTGACTAGCGCCTAGCTAGTTTTAGAAAAATGAGTGCAACATATTGCTGCAAAACATTATTTCCCTAAACAATGCAAAAGTAAGAAAAAAAATGCGATTTACAGGACATCTGAAATTGAATTTATGATATAAAGACTACATCGTTGAATGTGACTTGTGCTCTAAGCATTCTTGTATACGTAGTACATTACAGAAAAAGATACATAGAGGACACACACTATGATTAAATGCACCTTAGCTCTTCTTCATTCATTTATCAAGCATCTCACCATACTGACTTTGCATGTGTCACAATTGTAACACAACTTGATCAAGTCGTTGCTCCAAAATTATGCAATTACTATTTGCGAGCAGTTTAATTTGATCCATATATTAGCCTCACATATCTATAATCTATACACACATTTTGGACGGGTTACATCATTCTGATTGAAATGCTTTCATAAAAGTGCTATATTTATCTGTATATATAATGTATTCATGACATTATATATATGATGTATTCATGACATTAGTAGTTTGAGGAATGTTAATTTATGAAACAATAATAAATTTGGATGATAATATGGTGGATATTGGTTATATTGTTAAAATAAAATAATGATATTTAATATTCACTCGTGATTGATTTTGTGGAGTTGGTGTCACGTGTTTCAGAGATTATAGACCAGTGCAACCACACACAATACACCTAATTGCAGACCTAAATGAACGAGTGATGCTGTGGAAAGATGGGAATGTAAAATGAGAAAGTAGATGTATAAATGATGAGATCAGTAGACATTTAGCAAACTTCAATGACAAAAGTAGGAATCTATCTGTACTCAAGCACACAAGATAAGAACTATTGATCCAATCACTTTGAGGAAACAATTAAAAAAACTAAAAGCAAGATAGAAGGTATTTCTTTCGCACTTTTGAATTATTAAATTATACCCTCTTATGGTTTAGAATCTTAACTTTCACTTGTATAACAACTCACTGAGTTCAAATAACAATAATAACAAGTGTCCCAAGCCTCCCAAATTTGTAAGGGTATAAATAGATTCATTTTGTAGATCCACTTTTTCATATATTCAACATTGATGTATAATGTTCAGGTAATAAATCACCATGCAAAATATTGCACAACTTAAATTATTTCAATCATACAAAAGCACTCACTTTTGAGTTGTGAGTTTCTCATTTCTATTTGTAGTGTTTCACAATTATTTCTATCCTTTGCAGTTGTTTCAAATTTTCCTTTTCTGTTGTAAAATGGCTAGAATGACATGTGTGAATTGTCCATCCTTGTAATCAGGACACCTAGCTAGTTCTCATCCTTACTCATCAAACACAAGTCCTTGTAATCACACACATGACTAAATTCAATACTGCCAGCAAATCATGTAGAATCATTCCTAGATGATTCATCCCATGTCTGCCTAGTATAAATAGGGCTTGCTCAAACTCTTGTAAAGCAATTTAGAGAACTCAGAAATTTCAGAGATTAAGAAGAAGTTATTTAGAGGTTATTATTAATATATTTATCTCTTTAATCTATTCTGCATCTTCTTCATTTCACAACACGTTATCAGCACGAATTTGCTCAAATTCTTCAAGAAATCATCCTCTCCTGCAGGTATTAGCATGAATATCTATTATCTTCATTTAGTACTCCAACCAGAAAATTATTCTGAGTTTTAAATAAAAATTTCTATGATATACGTATGAAAAGAAAATATAGATACCATGCATACCTTTGAAATACACTAGCTAGCTAGTATCACTTTTCCTCATCTCGGTAGTCTCTTTATACGTAGAAGAGGGAATTAACTTGAGAAAGAATAAATATGTACTCCACAATATAATAAATAAAAGATATGATACGTGAGTATAAGAAAGAAGGAAAAGGTAGTAGTGTGTATGTTAGGAGTAACAGAATATATGAAGAGAGAAAGATGTGAAGTAATGAATAGAGGTTAGAAAGACACGGTCAAGGTATGGAGGACAACTCAATATATCTAATACTTCGTAGATACTAAGTAGCTGGTAGTAATCACGAGAACATAATGTGTGGTTCTGGTTTACATGCAGTATAATACAGATTACATATACTGATGAGTTCTGATGTTATATCGAAACTAATAAACAATTAGCTAAGTGACAACGTAGTATTAAAAGCTCTCTGAACATACATTGTCACGGGTAATATAAAAACAAAATCAACCGTTAGATAAATCAGGTTGAATTCTAACAGTAAAGTTAAATTCTTGATACTACGAAGCATAATTTATCTAAACATTACTCATGCCCATTTAATTTTAATAATATAGAATCAAATGAATGCATAAAATTAATAAAACTAGTACGTACATTATTACCTATATTTTGACTATACTAAAGCTCATAATATTCTGTAAAAGGTTTAGTAATAAATTTGTATTGATAGTCATTGTAGTACCATGGCCAACATTAGCAAAAGAGAGTTCGACGTTCTTGATCTGTCCGGTCAAAAATATTTGGAATGGAAAGTGGATGCTTTAGCACATTTAAAGGCCAACGGTCTGGAAGACACTATTGAGGCAAATAAGCCATCATCTTCCCAAGACAAAGCGAAAGCTATCATTTTCCTCCGTCATCACCTCCATGAAAGTCTCAAATCTGAATATATTTTGGTTGATGATCCAAAAGAATTATGGGACAATTTACAAGAGAGGTATGGCCACCAGCAAAAGGTACTTTTGCCAAAAGCTCAGTATGACTGGATCCATTTAAGATTCCAGGATTTTAAATCTATCAGTGACTATAATTCTGCTATGTTCCAAATAACATCAAAATTAAAGTTATGTGGACAAAAAATCACTGATGCTGATATGTTGGAGAAAACCTTTTCTGCAATGCATATTTCTAATATGCTGCTACAGCAGCAATATAGAGAAAAGGGATTTAAAAAATACTCTGACCTTATATCAGTTTTACTGGTCGCTGAGCAAAATAATGACCTTTTGGTGAAAAATCATAATCTGAGACCCACTGGTTCTAGTCCTTCGGTTTATGGTCCACCTGGCCATAATTTAGCCACTGAATCAAATGCAACATACAGTGGCAGTAGAAGGCATTTTAAACGTGGGCATTTTAATGGTCATAAAAACAAGTCACACCGAGAATACAAACATGTCGAAAGACCAAATTACAAGGGCAAGGGCAAACAAAAAGCCCATCAAATAAACCGCCCTCCAAAATCCTCGGGAAAGTCGACTTGTTATAAATGTGGTATGACGGGGCACTGGGCTAACAAATGCCGCACGGCAAAGCATTTGGTGGAATTATTTCAAGCTTCCATGAATCTCAACAACGATAAAAATGTGGAAGCTAATTATGTCAATGACACAACTCCACCTCTGCCAAAATTTGACGTGTCCGATTTATTCGTGGATGATGCCATTATGGACGATGCTTTTGCCACTAATCCAAATGACACAAAATAAATTATAGGACTTTCATATTGTAAATAATGTATTTTTCTTTCGTATCCTTTATGTTGTTATCATAAATAAATTATGTAATATATGTACTTTAACGTTATATATGATGCATAATTTGTGTTACTTGCATATCAAACTTATGCTTATTTATATATATTGAAGATATGGATCACTCAAGTGATAAAGAGCTATGTCTGATAGACAGCGCCACAACGCACACCATTTTGAGAAATAAAATATATTTTTCTCAAATGACTTTAGTTGAGGTTAAAGTCAATACAATATCAGGTGTTGCGAAGCTCATTGAAGGCTCTGGGAAAGCATATGTGATGCTCCCTAATGGGACAAAATTACTTATAAATGACGCTTTATACTCCAGCAAATCGCGGAGAAATTTATTAAGCTTTAAAGATATGCGTCAAAATGGTTATCACATAGAAACCATGAATGAAAACCAAAAGGAATATCTTTGTCTAACGACAACTAAATCTGGCACTAAATGTATTTGTGAAAAAATGCCAGCATATTCCTCAGGACTATATTTCACTCATATTAGTCCATTCGAAATAAATTTGGTTTCTAACGCAAAGTTAGATGATCAGAAAACATTCATGTTGTGGCATGACCATTTAGGTCACCCAGGCCAAGTAATGATGCATAAAATCATTAAAACTTCACTTGGACACCCATTAAAGAATATCAGGGTTCCATTATCAAGTGATTTTCCTTGTAAGGCCTGTTCTCTTGGCAAAATGATCATCAGGCCTTCTATGAACAAAATTGCAACTGAATCACCTGCATTTTTAGAAAGAATTCAAGGAGATATTTGTGGGCCGATAGCCCCACCATGTGGACCATTTCGATATTTTATGGTGTTGATAGATGCTTCAACACGTTGGTCACATGTTAGTCTCGACTAGAAATTTAGCATTTGCTAAACTCCTTGCTCAAATTATACGATTAAGAACTCATTTTCCGGATCATTCTATAAAGAGAATCTGACTTGATAATGCAGGAGAATTTACATCTCAATCATTTAACGACTATTGTATGTCGATTGGGATTGATGTGGAGCACCCTGTTGCTCATGTCCATACACAAAATGGTCTTGCTGAATCTTTGATTAAACGATTACAATTAATCGCTAGACCATTATTAATGAAGTGTAATTTACCTTCATCAGCTTGGGGACATGCTATTTTACATGCATCAAATTTAATTCGGCTTAGACCGACTGCGTATCATGAATATCCCCAATGCAATTAGTTACTGGACAAGAGCCAAACTTAGCACACATAAAAATATTTGGTTGTGCTGTTTATGTTCCGATTGCTCCACCTCATCGTACAAAAATGGGTCCTCAAAGAAGGTTGGGAATTTACGTTGGATTTGAATCTCCCTCAATAATCAAATATCTTGAACCGATGACTGGTGACTTATTCACCGCACGGTTCGCTGATTGTCATTTCAATGAGACAGTATTCCCAACCTTAGGGGGAGAAACTAATAAATCGGACCCAAGTACGAAAGAAATAACATGGAATGCAACAAGATTATCACACCTTGATTCTAGATCAATTAAATATATGTGAGCAAGAGGTGCAAAAGATAATCCATTTACAAAATGTTGCAAATCAGTTGCCTGATGCATTCACAGACACAAAGAAAGTGACAAAGTCACATATTCTTGCTATGAATGCCCCTGCCAGAATTGAAATTCCAGCGGAGAATTCTGAAAAATCTCTCGCAAATGATTCTCCTATACGCAAAAAGTGTGGCAGGCCACTTGGATTAAAAGACATAAAACCAAGAAAGACTAAAAGGCAGGAATTGATCTGTGATGCCAAAGATGTTCATCCTTCTGAACAAGAAAATGAACAATTTGAAAATACTGGCATAGAAAATGATATTGACAAAACAAACATCTCAAATAATGATTCAACTTCCTTTAATGAGGAAGATATTCCAGATACTGATAGAAATGTTGATAATTATGAAATTTCAATAAATTACGTTTCTACTGGAATGCAATGGAATCGAAAAGATATTGATATTAATGAGATATTTGTCTATGCCGTTGCCACAAATGTTATGAATGAAAACAATGACAATGAGCCAACATCAATTGAAGAATGGCGGAAACGACAAAATTGGCCAAAATGGAATGAAGCTATTCAGGCTGAATTAAAATCACTTGAAAAACGTGATGTTTTTGGACCGATAGTCCCTACACCAAAAGGCGTAAAACCTGTGGGTTTTAAATGGGTATTTGTGCGTAAACGCAATGAGAAAAATGAAATTGTTAGATATAAAGCCCGACTTGTTGCCCAAGGTTTTTCTCAAATGCCGGGAATCGATTATGAAGAAACCTATTCTCCAGTAGTCGATGCAATTACATTAAGGTTTCTCATTGGCATGTCTGTTTTTGAAAGACTGCAAATGCGCCTAATGGATGTAGTGACCGCCTATCTATATGGTTCACTTGATACAGACATTTACATGAAAGTTCCCGGTGGATTTAAAATGCCTGAAACTTATAGCTCGAAACCTCGAGACATATTTTCCAATAAATTACAAAAGTCATTGTATGGACTAAAACAATCTGGACGAATGTGGTATAATCGTCCCAGTGAATACCTTCTCAAAGAAGGATATAAGAATGATCCGATTAGTCCATGTGTTTTCATTCGGCGATCAAATTCGGGATTCGCCATAATTGCAGTATATGCTGATGACTTAAATATTATTGGAACTCCCGATGAAATTGAAAATACTGCAAAATATCTTATGTAAGAATTTGAAATGAAAGATCTCGGGAGAACCAAATTTTGTCTCGGACTTCAAATTGAGCATTTGAAGAATGGAATTTTCATCCACCAATCCAATTTCACCGAGAAAGTGTTGAAGAGATTCTATATGGACAAAGCTCATCCTTTGACTTCACCAATGGTCATTCGATCTCTCAACATACACGATGATCCATTCTGTCCCCGAGAAGACGACGAAGCCATACTCGGTCCCGAAGTACCATATCTGAGTGCTATCGGAGCTCTAATGTATTTAGCTAATAATACTAGACCAGATATTGCATTTTCTGTAAATTTCTTAGCTAGGTACAACTCATGTCCAACAAGGCGTCATTGGAACGGGATCAAGCACATATTCCGTTATCTCCGTGGTACAGTTGATCTTGGCTTATTCTTCCACAAAGACGCAAAAGCCTATTTAATCGGATATGCAGACGCCGGATATTTATCAGATCCTCAAAAGGCGAAATCACAAAATGTATTTACTTATGGTAACACCGCAATCTCATGGAGATCTATGATGCAAACATTGATAGCTACATCATCAAATCATTCTGAATTAATTGCACTGTATGAAACCGGGAGAGAATGTGTGTGGCTGCGATCTATGATTCAACACATCCAAGATGAATGTGGTATGAAAGATATTAGTTGTCACCCGACTGTGATCTACGAAGACAACACCGCATGCATAGCTCAAATTAAAGAAGGCTACATCAAAGGAGATAGAACGAAGCACATATCTCCAAAGTTTTTCTCTACTCATGACCTTGAGAAAGAAGGGACAATCAACATTCAACAAATCAGATCCAGTGAAAATCCAGCTGATCTCTTCACCAAATCATTACCCCCGAAGAAGTTCATGGAACTTGTATAGAAAATCGGCATGCGCCGCCTTAATAATTTATGTTAATTCCAGGGGGGTATTTGAATGCACTGCACTCTTTTTCCCTTCATCAGGTTTTTATCCCACTGAGTTTTTCCTGATAAGGTTTTTAACGAGACAGTACATCCAAATACAACGACATTATAAGTCGTAATTTTTACCCCTTTAATTTCACAATAAATTTTTAACATAACAAATACCTATTCAAGGATGAACATTCAAGGGGGAGTGTTGTAAAATGGCTAGAATGACATGTGTGAATTGTCCATCCTTGTAATCAGGACACCTAGCTAGTTCTCATCCTTACTCATCAAACACAAGTCCTTGTAATCACACACATGGCTAGATTCAATACTGCCAGCAAATCATGTAGAATCATTCCTAGATGATTCATCCCATGCCTGGCTAGTATAAATAGGGCTTGCTCAAACTCTTGTAAAGCAATTCAGATACTCAGAAAATCTCAGATATTAAGAAGTAATTTAGAGGTCTATATCTATATCTATCTCTTAAAGTTGTTCTTCATCTTCTTCATTTCACAACATTTTCATCTTTTTTCAAATTAGCCTGAGAACGTAATTACAGGAAGAATAGTAACACAGTCAATATATTTGACGAAAATTAACTTTAACTACCTACAATTAATTAGGACGGAGGTCAAGATTTGCAATTTCCAATGACCAAACAAGGCCTCCATCTTACGATCAGCCTGGGGTTCGTTTTCACACGGACGCTGACTCTCTCGAATCTCATCCGTTCCTACGCAATCCAACGGATTAAACTGAACCAAAGAGTTGCAATTGGATCGAGTACTTATTACAAATTACAATTCTCGCAGTTCCCGAAGCTTTAAACTCTTGGATGGAAGAATACGCTCTCGAATCCAAATTCAGTTAACAGTCATCCAAGTTTCACAGTTTAGTCATCTTCAGCCTCCATTTTACCGAACAAAGCTCTGCCTTTCTTCTTCAAGCAGTTGGTATAGCCCTCAAGCACCAGTTTCCTGTCTGCATCTCTAAACTATCCACTTCGGTATGAACTCACGCGTGAACATCGCGTTTAGTAGTTCATTTGCTGGGTGAAGCTCGATCTCAGCTTGGAAAGGCGTGGTTTAGTGTTTGAGACGCGCGAATTGTCTCCCCCCCTACTCTTTGAACAGTTAATTAGGGTTTCTGAGATCCGTCAACTGTAAAATTTGACGACTGATGAGTCTTACCTGCAGCTTACCATCTTTCGTATCTGAGCAGGTAGGTTGACAGGGGCGCTGTATTGGTGGAAGTAGACCTGGGTTTGAAGTTGAATATGGGATTTTTGCTGATGTTCGTTTTACTCCCGGGCCCAGATTGAAGTGTTTGGTGACAAACTAGGGTTTTGCATTGTAAAGGTTTGAATTGGTATTTGTTGTTGACTTCTTGGTTTGGCTGTAGAGTAGAGGACTGCAGTTTCAAGCACGTATCTTTAAAGATAAGAATTTGCGGTTCTGTTGGTGTTGTAAGAGTTTCTCCGTTAGGTAGTAGAGTAGAAATAGAAAAGAAATGTTCTATTCGCAGTTTATACTCGCTAAAAAGGGTCCTTTAGGGACCATATGGATAGCTGCACATCTGGAGAGAAAGCTAAGAAAGAATCAGATTGCTGATACTGATATTGGCGTCTCTGTAGGTCAGTTTTTGTTTACATTAATGTACTATTTCATAGTAATTAACTCAGGAGTGACACTCCTTAATTGATAAATACCATTGTTTTACTTCTATGACTATTGCATAGAATCCTTTTTTTTTTTTACTTCTATGACTATTGCATATTAAATGCTTATTCAATGACATATCAGTGCAGAGATTGGCCGCTCAAAATATACCACTAGATTTTCAAGCGTGTTTTTTTCCTAGAGAACTTCTATGGTGCCTCCTTTTTTAGGGTGCAATACCTTCACCTAGGTGGACAAGTATAAATACATGGGAAACTTAAAACGCTTAATATAAAAAAAAGTACATGTTTTATTTTCAATGTAGTCCTCAAGTAATAGAACTATAGAAGTTTTTTTTAAAACTATTAGCAGTCATTTCACAGATGGAACAGACAAATTTTATTCTGCAACTCCGATTATGAGGTTGTTCGGTTTGAATAAATTAGTAATGGATAGAAAGATTCTGTGAAGCATTTTTAACACGAGATCTCATAACACCTCCTTTTGAGCACAAAGTTTGTCAGTCATTTAAACCCATTCTGGAAAATTGATATATAAGTTGATGCATTGAATCCGAAAAAAATAAAGTAGAGCGAGGGAGGAAGGATCGAACAACATAATGGAGGGCTAATGTGTTTTTTTCCCAGTGTGTCTGGCTCTTTCCATTCCTGTTAGTGTTGTGCTTTACAAGAGAACCTTAGTGCTTAGGTAGCGTGTGTCAAGGGTAATTTGATTTGATTTCAGAACCCTTTTATATTTGCTTTGTGTTTGCCAAGATCTGTGCTTTCTATGTTGTTTTGTGCACAAAACTATACCTTCCCAAATCATCTGCACCCAAGATTGGGAAGTGTATATATTCTGGTGACAGTAATACGGCAATGTCATGCAGTGTTTTTTTTCTAAATGGTGGCAACAACAAAGCTTTCTTTTCCTTTTTCTATGGATCAACAAGAGGAACTAAATTACAAATAATGAATATTGGTATTCCCCCTTATGATGTGGCACTTTATTAAAATGTGATTGGTTAAAAAATGAAGGTACCAAAACTCAGCAAATTTATGTGTGCCCCCTAGATGGAAATCTTTTCCTATTTTGTCATCACTTCCTTTGTTGTATCATGTAGTAAAGAAAAGTACAAAAGTGATCCTGAAGTCCATCACTCAAGTTCTTCTAATTTAGGCTTATGTTTGGCTACATTTTGCTGAAACATTGCTACATTCATGTATGTACTGATTATACGTATAAGTTTCTGTGTTGATCCCAAATGGGAATATGGGATAGCTTTTTCTATTTTTTTCAGACATAGGGATATTCTTTCTCATTGTATGTTTTTCATTTCAAGTTAGCTTTGTATTGTAACTTATCTTTGACTAAGTTGTTATATCAATGGAACTGACTCATTCTCTTAATTGTCAACAGACACAATTCTTTCCCCTGATGCTCCAATTGCTCTCCGTTTATCTAGCCATCTTCTTCTTGGTGTTGTGAGGATATACTCTAGAAAGGTGAACTACCTTTTTGATGACTGTAGTGAGGCGTTGCTCAAGGTCAAACAAGCTTTTCGCTCAACAGCTGTGGATTTACCTCCAGAAAAGTCTAAGGCACCATACCACTCTATCACATTGCCCGAGACTTTTGAACTTGATGATTTTGAACTTCCAGACATTGACATTATTCACGGGTTGGTTTCAAAACATTTGTCTTCCCATGGCAACTTTAGTTTAAGAATAAAGTGTGGAATTCACAAAAATCAGCAAAATGTATGACCATCAGATGCTTGAATGTTATTGTTAGTCGATGTATGTTTGGTACTGTCTCAGTCCTGTATCAAGGTTCCTATGAAAAAGGCACCATTTTTAGACAAGTAATTAAATAAAGCAGTTTGAGGCTTGAGCACAAAACATAGGAAAGAAAAGACTAAAAAGGTAAAAATCAAAGTAAATAGTTGAGTGGGTTGGAATATAATTGGGTGAAGTAATTGATGAATAATGGTGTTATTATGAGTGCATTTATTTGAAAAGTAATGATGAACTTATCATTTAACACCTTTAATTTTTCCCATAAAAGAAAAGGAAACTTGATATGGGACTTCTATAAAAGGTTAGCAGGAACCTTAAATTGGGATGGAGGAAATATATCACTATATCATAATTTCAGTGAATTAGAACCTCTGTGTTGCTGTTAGAGATCATAAAGATCTTTCTATGTTGCGGCATCTTATTAATTATGCGTGTCTACATTTCCTTCCTGTTCTCTATTTGTGCAGTAACTATGTAGACCATCATGTGAGCTCAAGAGAGCAAATTACACTCCAAGACCCCATGGAAGGTGTTGCTTACTCCACATCTAAATTTGGACCAGATGGTATGTAGTATATTTACACTTAACATAACATTTCATACTTATAGCATTACCAGCTGATGCTTATACATATGTATTTTGCTTAATATAATATGATGGTTTCATTACAGAGAGGTTTGGTGATGGCGATACTTTAGGCTTAGACTTTGATGAGGTAAGTAGGTAACATACTAGCATCTACTTTTATTCAGAACTGGTAACATATAGTAAATCTTGTAGGTGGTAATGATTTTTTATTACCCACTTTCATACCTATTAGAGTTTTCCAATTTCCCCCCTTAACTGGATCTTCTGGGAACAGGAATTGTTTTTGGACAATGTTGCTGCCACAGGAGATGCTGGTGTAAGGTTAATCTCAAGCTACTCTATATTATCTGTGTTACACTACAGTAATGAATTCTGGACAAGCCTGATTCTATTGGCGTTAACCTGATAGGTTTACATGCTTAGTTTTTGTGAAGCTGCCACTTATGTCTATTAACTTGTTAAACTATTGTGTTAGTGGTTTCTGTCATCTTGCATACTATGTGTTTTACCAGCCTGAATTTGTGTCCCGTAGAATCTAGATAGTAGTTCAGTACTGTCCTTCATATTCTGCACCTTTTGGCAAATCACAAATGTATAGGCTATAGAGTAATTTGTGCAACATAGGAACTACGAGTCTACGATGTGTTACATCTTAAAAGATGCTTTCTTAAGGCTTAACTTGGTAAGAACATTAAATCTGTTATCTGTTTTGACAGATAGTAATCATAGTATAGATCCCATTGATCAAATACTGAATCATACAATCAATACTAATTCACATGTGCTGGGTGTGGGTTTTCCCTTCTCTTGAACATGATTATTTTTTCTTCTGTAATTTAAATCCACATTGGTGCGTGAGTGGAAGTCCTTCAGAATCCTTTTCAAGACTCTTTGTGATTATCTGTTGAATTTATTTAGAAAATAAGGATTAGATTGAATTTGCTAATGTGTTTAATGTGTCTTTATTTATCATGCTATTTATCTTCCTAATAAATGAACATGACGATACCACCATCTATTAATGATAATCCAGTGTTGACGCTCAAGTGTCTGTTGAACCTATGACGCCTTTGAAGCAAGATGAACTTCATGATGCTATGGCTGCAAATTCAGAGAGCATGGTAATTGAACATATAGGGTTAATTAGTTGAAACATTAAATGGCTCCCTTTTTTATTTTGTTTGTTTCAGTGTGAATATTTCATGTTGCAATTGTTGTTGTTGTTTTCATTATCAGGTTGATGGTGCTGAAGGAGATACTGATTTTGTGGAGTATGCACATGCCCCATGCACCCCTGGGCTAGCAGAGGAGCCAAATTTATCTAACATTCAAGAGACTTCTGCATGTGATGACCATTTAGAAAATGAGTATCAGAATCCAACTAAATCAATCATAGAAGGAGGCGTGCATAATATTCCCTTGGGAGATGATGTTTGTGATGGGAGTAGTCTTACCAGGCATATGCCTATGCCTAATAATGCACATCCTGATGCAGTCTCAGATACCCAGTTTGAGGAGAATGGATGCCATTCAGGAGCTGTACAGTTTCCATCTTCTGAAGTTGCTTTTGAATGTTTTCCATTGGATAACCACACTTTGGTGTCTGAAACACCAGCTCATGTTAATCCGGTCAGTGCCCCTTTGCAAGAGTTAACTGATGAGACTGTTAAGCCATCTGATGACCCCAAAGAGGCGGAAATAACTCAGAATCAGATTTTTGACAATGACAAGGTGGACATATCTTCACACAGTGGCTTGGACAAAGACTACCCAAGTCACGATGGAATGAATTTGGAAGAAAATGCATGCAATATTCCTGGTTTAAAGAGTATTGAATTTTCAGTTTCAGTTGATGCTATGCAAGTCTATCAGACATCACCTAATGGACAGGAACCAGAAATTCATCAGGAGCGAATAAATTCCATCAATTTGACGAACTCAGCCCAATTTCACATTCTGAAACCATGCAGTGCTCAGAACCAAGCTGACACATCAAAACCATGCAGTGAACACCTTGATCTTGAGATACAATCTGATTGTAATGGCCTCTATTCTCCTAAAACTTCTGAAGTAGACATCTCATCTACTTTAGAGCCTTCTATTGTCCAAGGTATGGGAGGAGTAATGGAAGTATGTCAATGTGTTTATCCAATAAATGTTTATTGTTTAAAACTCTTATCACTTATATGCTTACAAATTTTCTAGGTGAGACATGTCCTCTTACCAAGAATTTCGAACATATATCTTGTGAGAATCACGAGGAAGGGCCTAAACTGTGCGGAGTCGGTCAGGCAAGTAGTGAGAAATCAAATGTTCTAGTGGAGGATGTTGCTGTCATTTCTGCGCATTGCCCAGAACAAAATCCATGTAACTCAGCTCTTCAAGAAGTGCCTAAACTGTGCGGAGTCAGTCAGGCAAGTAGTGAGAAATCAAATGTTCTAGCAGAGGATGTCGCTGTCATTTCTGCGCATTGCCCAGAACAAAATCCATGTAACTCAGCTCTTTCTGATCTTCCAACACCTGAGAAATTTGTGTCTGTACCAGGAGGAGTTGTTGATTTACAAAGAGGTGTTTTAGTAGAGGATTCACAAGGATTGTCAGGTAGGATTAATGACACTTGTCCTAGTGATTCCAAATTCATATCTGGAAGAAAGCGCAGTTATACTGAAAGCACACTAACAGAACAAAGTCTAAACTCATTTGAATCGTCAAGGATGACCCATTCCAGAACCACAGAACTTATTCCCAATGATGAAGATTTGTTGTCTTCCATACTCGGTATGCACATTTCTGCTGTTCTTCTTTGCAAGGGTTTCCGGAAAATAAACCTTGTTGACTCGTTTTCTTTTTGTGTTGTATGTTTATTTGCTTAAATTCAGCGGGGAAAAGATCATCAACCCTGAAATTTAAGCCCACTCCTCATGATAAGTCATCTATCAAACGCCGTCGCATTGCCCGGACTAGTATTTTAAAGAGGAAAGTGCTTATGGATGATACCATGGTGTTGCATGGGGAGTATGTTTCTTCACTTGAACTATTATTTCAATGTCTATTTCTAGTTCCATGCCTACCATAATTATTATCATAAACTAATGAGAAAATTCTCTAAATAAGATCAAAACATAAATAAAATGCACAAATAGGATTCCATTTATTTCTTCCTAAAATTGGCAGGACTCATTCACTCCTGATTAGGAAACATTTATGCTCTTAACAGAACCAAAAACTACTATTATGGGAATAAAACATATATACTCCTATTTGTGCATTTTGTTTGTCTTTTAGGATGTTTTTACTTGGACTGAAATTTTCTGGTCTGGTCTGAAAAATGTTTGGTCTTTATGTATTTTATAAGTTTGGTCTGGTCTAATCTGGCCTGATCTGGGACTGAATTAAGTCCAAATAAAAACACCATTACTCCTATTTGCAGCAATTTATTTAAATTCATTTATCACTTTTGTATTGTTTGTTCCAACTAGGCTATTCAATTGGCAGGGGGTGAATATCTGGAATGTCATGTAAAATTTAAGACTATTACTTACTGCGTAGTATGTTCTAAAATAAGTGGTATCTGTTTGTAGGAACTGTGTTTTATCCTCAGGATTGTTGAATATCTCATAGAACCATCATTTGCTTTCCCTTCTTAATTTTATTATTATATTGACTAACTGTTATAAAATGTCAATCACCTGCATGAATCAAAAAATTTGCGGTTCAGTGTGTAATGCTTTACGTGCTTGCACTTTCTGTACACTACACACTACACATCCATTACTGTGTGTGTTGCTCACTTGGTAGCTGAAGTTTCTTATATTTATAATTACAGAGTAACTTATAGATGTAGTCATTAGACTCTTATATTTATAATTACAGAGTAACTTATAAATGTAGTCATGTAGACCACCAAACATTTTGTGATGAATTCTACTACTGCATTTCTCTAAATACCAACTGATCATATCATTTCTCTTTTACAGTACTATACGGGAACAACTAACTTATACTGAAGATATACGTCGTGTACGCAAGAGAGCTCCTTGTACATGTTCTGAAATTTCATTGATAGAGAAGCAAATATTGGAAGATCAAATTTTCAGTGAAACATTATTAACTGGTGAGTTAACTTTGCTGCAATTATGATGGATTTAGAGTTTTGGCATCTCCTTAATTTATGCTATTGCTGTTCATATAAGAAAAATGGTGCCTCATCCAGTAGAGCTTCAACATGAATTTTTTGATCTAAATTGCGAATTTCTTTCAATATGAATTAGGCATAGGAAAATGTTGGAGTACAGTAAACATCTAAAAAGCGCTACAAAAGTGTATGTGTGGCCCTCGTGATGAGCATGAGTTTGCCAAGGTTTACATGTCAGTTCTGCAAAAAATTGTTAAGGGCTTTTGTACTTATTTCTTAACCTTATGCATATGTTCTCTGGAAAAGTTGTCACAACAGTCAAATTATCCATATTTGAAAATACAATTTACAAACAGCAAGACAGCCCTCTTTCCCGTCCACCTTTGCAATATGTTCTTTTTTTATTGATGGCATTATGCTAACTCAAATTGGGCACCAAATGTACGTTCTTTAATCGATTGGCAATATGTTCTTCATTATGGGCGTGGTCTGGATCTTGTTTTAGATCTAGGAAATAGAGAATGGGAGAGAGGAATAATAAACTAAGCCTAAGCTAGAATTAATCAATGCCCGACCTTTGAATAATAGTGATGACCCTTACATAACTATTACAAGTGTCCTAATTATAAAAGGAAATAAATGTTAATAAAAAGTTGCCTAAAACAGAATAAGAATATTTATGAAAGGAAATAAATTCTAATTAAGAAGTTGCCTAAGCACACATAGGATTAATAATAAAAGTAATTCTAATAATACAAGGTTTTTTTTCTCACATTACATTGTTTGAAGTTTCCTGCCGGTTACAATTACACGCAGGTATCTTTTCTAATGCGAAAATGTTATGATGTTGTCTCTTCAGAAGAATAAAGATGCATTTCTCATTTTTATTATTTTATGTTTTCCTTCATTTTTCGAAGGTGTTTCAATGGAATTGAGGTGTTTGCAAAAGGAAACCTTTGATCTGATGGGTATCAAGGTCTTGCAAAATGTTCAAAGGGAAAATGATCCAAAGCAAACATCTGTGCCTGATGAAAACAGTAAGACATTGGGCATCCAAATATCTGACAAGTTTGATGGACCACATACTACAAGGGAAAATGAGAGTGGAGGTGCTGATGAATCTTCAGTAAGAAGAGACGATGGAGATGTAGATGCTGTCCTTGCCACAAACAAGCAGGGTGAACATGACAACCAATCTTTAGATGATAATAATGCCTCCCAGATGCTCATGGACACCATTGTCGATGTAGATGAAGCTCGTGCTTTACAACTTGAGTTTTCAGGAAATGCAGTTGAGGCAGAAATTGATGGAGCAAAAAACACGGCTTCGGCTGGAGTTGAGTTTCTATGCCAGACTAATGGTGCTTCGGGTGACTTAGCTGAAGCTAATGCTTCTCAATGTGAGGTTTCTGGTAATGCAGTCGAGGTAGGGATTGAACAAGTTAACAACTCTTTATGTGATGAATTGGCTGGATTTGGGTCTCTATACCCTACAGATGGTGTTTTAGCTAAAGCTAATGCTTCTCAACTTGAACATTCTGGAAATGCTGTTGATATGGAACTTGATCAAACAAACACTTCACTTGAAGATGCCGAAAACAATGCTTTGGCTGGAGTTGAGTGTCTTGACCGTATGCATGATGTTTTAGCCGATGCTAATGCATCTCAACTTGTGTTGTCTGGAATTGGAATTGACTCAGGATTCGACCAAACAAACGCTTCAATCGATAATGATAATGCTGTTTCGGCTGGAGTAGGGTTTCGATACCCTTCTGATGCTGCGTTGGGTATTTCATCTGGGTTGAAAGTTACTGATTGCAATGCATCTAATGGCCTGGATTCCTCTATGCAGTTAAATGGATCTTGCATGTCAAATGAGCACATGATGGGTAATGAAGATTTTGTGCCGACAAACATGAGCTGTGATAAACTCATTAATGATAATAATCTTCTAGAAGGTAATTCTGTTGATATCGCTGAAGTTGAAAATTACCCCCGAGCCAAGGAAGGTGTATCATCGGGTGTAGCCCAAGTTGATGCTGAAATTGAAGCTAATAAAGATATCAGAGCAGAATATGATCCCCAGTCCGTGACTAATAATGTTATATGCGGTGAGAACCTTACAGTAGATGACACCACAGGTGCTGGAGAAATTCCTTCTGAACAGGAAACTTATCTACAAAGCTTGTTTGATGGAGAAGTATCTGTTATAGAGCTTAATGTTCCAGATGTAAGTTCACAATTCACTTTGAATTTCATGAAGTTTTATTTTCTTCAGCATTCCACTTGGTTGTTTTTCCCTCCTGGCACTAGGTTAGGCTTACTTTTCTTTATTTGCTTATGACATTTAGAGGGCAAGAAAAGATACCTGTACTGGAGACTACTGGGATATGCCTCATTTTTGCACTGTTCTTTGAAGTTCCTAAAATAATAACTTGGCAGTAAGGCAAATACGTTTCAACTGATTTTAGATTTAAAAATCAAAATTTTAATTTATAGTAACCTTAAATAGTTGCTCTTTAAGAAACTAAAGATAGTGTATTTCCCTGTAATGACCTTGAATAGTTACTCTTTGACGAACTAAAACAGTGATTGAGAATTGGTTTATCACATAGGTCCACACACTTGACATAAATGAATATGCCCTGGTCTTTGTGAGAATAATGAGTGTGCTGTGATATACAATACATCCCATCTCTTCTCATTTATCCAATTTATGCCTATGCTCAATGGCAGCTCGTATTCTATTTCAGTTTTCTTGAAAGCATTTCTTTGATTATCAGTTCTCATATTTATATATTGAGCCAACAGTCTTTTATTTGATTTTTGCCTTCTAGGTGAAGGTTCCAAATTACTCTGGTGCTATGAATGATACAGGTTTGTTGTCTCATTTGCTATTTTTTTTTTTTTAAACTATTCTTCCAAGTGCATCACCTAAACTTCCCCTCTTTCACTGAGGCAGATAAATGCACATTCTACTGCCGAAAGTCAATGCACCCCCTTGTCCCACTTTCCATTTGGGGCATCCCATTTTTGTTGTCTTATCTTCTAGATATATGATAGTCTTAAAATATCTTAAAATGCATAGAAATGAATAAAATGATAAAGATCCTAATGATGAAGTAGCAAAAGTCATAAACATTCTATGTTTTCAAGAAAATCAATCATCTAATAGTTTGGTCCGATATTAATCTTCATTAGGTTCAAGGTTGTGATTTTCTTCTTCATCCTCCATGTCCCCAAATAGATCTTTAGTAGTCAGATTCCCCACTGGTTCCTCCTCTTCGACTTCGAGGTCATCTAAATCAATATCAAGTAGCCTGTACGCAAACTGGGATGCATTCACATTCTCCCTTCTGTTTTGGCTCCTTGTATTTGTCCGTGCCTCAGTGGCTTGTTGAGCTGCTTGTACTTGTTCTGAAGTCAGATCATCACTCTAGGAGGGTAGCCGATGTCTGTTAAACCTAAAATTTGCATCATAGATTTTCAAATTTTATAAGTAACTGAGTAAGTCTGAGTAACTGGGCGAGTTGAGAACTTCACCGAGTTGAGAAGCTCGCCGAGTAACTCGGAAATAATTTATGGACCGAGTCAAATAGCTAATCGGCAAGGTCACCACCCGAGTTGCGAGTACTCGCCGAGTAGATAACCCAGATAAACAAAGCTAATTTGTCAAGTGATTTGCCCAAAAGTTACCAATAAACAAACGCAGGCACATACAACATACATATATGCTTACTTCAACTGAGTTAGTAGCCTAATAACGAACTAAAAATACACACGAGTAAAATTTAATAGTTCACAAATATTTTGATGCATTATTTTCACAAAGGTGTTCTGCATTCCTTTCGCTGCACCACTTAGTTGCTTGCCCTTTCTTTTTATTTCCAGGGTTCCTAAATGACGATAATGATGGCGATGAAGAAGAAGCTGGAGAGGCCGGTGATGGTACGTTTGATGCTGAAAAAGCATGTTCAATTGAAAACAGTGGGTGGTCTTCCCGTACTAGGTATTCTTTATTCAGACACATTTTTTGTATACATCGTGTTTCTCTTAATTATTATTCATTCCTTTACCTGAATAATGAGGATACACTGGGGGTACTTATATTGTTAACCTTTTTCAGAGCTGTTGCCAAGTATCTCCAGACTGTGTTTAGCAAGGAAACAGAACATGGAAGGAACACTATTTCCTTGGACAGCCTTTTGGCTGGCAAAACACGCAAGGAAGCTTGTAGGATGTTTTTTGAAGCTTTGGTAGGTTTAAGTTCTTCTCCATCATTGAAAAAGGCCCACCTTTTCATTTTCTCCTGTCCTGAAATAAGGTTCCCCTTTTGATGATAAAATTTGTGTTTTCTTTCTTGTCTCAATAAAATTTGTGTTTTCTTTCTTGTCTCAATAATTTTTGACGACACAATTTAACTCTTCGCAATGAACATGTCAAGTCAAACAAGGAACCTTTTCAGGGTCAGAATGATGATTGCTCTCTCACCCGGATTCACTAACACATTGTTGGATTTGAGTACAGGTTCTTAAAACAAAAGACTACATCCACGTGGAGCAGGCAATTCCATGCGATGATATTACTATACAGCCACGGATGCAGCTTATGAGATCAGAGTTTTGAACAGATGTTGAAGTAGGAAAAAGCATGTAAAGTTTGTGATATCATTTGCTAATCTATTTTCTTACTGATTTATGGCCTACGTTGACATAGTTCATAAGGCCGAAAATCACGGAATGCCAATTGTCATTTTTTGTTTCTTTTTGGGGGGTGGAGGTGGAGGTGGCATTACCCCTGTTCCCAGTTAAATTAAATTAAAATTAAATAGCATAGAGCAGTAGAAGCGTAGCTGGTCATTAATGCAAGTGTTGCGGCACTTGACTGTATTACTATTTATACATTACATATATGTATATAAGGCTATAAGCTGTAAAATTACATCTGGATGTCAATCTTCTGGGATTGACAGTACTTGCGTGATATGAACAGTTCAGTGTTCATAAATCATCTGGTCTTCCGCCTTAAGTTGGAACCCTGAGAAATGGGAAATACATTCTCAACCCACGTTCGAACTAACCTCTTTACATTTTTTTAATAGTTAAAAATTGACGCTCCAATGGGTGTAATTATTTACTACCTCCGTCCCATATTTATCTTCATAGTTCGGTTTACCTGGGATTAGGCAACACGCACTTTTCATTTAACCTTACGTGGTTACCTGGGATTAGGCATGGCCTCGGTCCGGTGACTCCGGTCTGACCGGCCCGCCACTGTGCGGGACTAGAGCTGGACTCGGGCCGGTTTGGGCCCGGCCGGGCCTCGGGCCAGAAAACTGGGGCCCAAGCCCGAACCGCCGGTGGCCGGTTCCGGGCCAAACCGATCCATTTTTTTTGGTTCTCCTATTTAACCCCCTCCCCCTCAACCCCAAACCACCTCAAATGACCCAAAATACCTAATCCAATCCAAAACTTAAAAAAATTTCAAAAAAAAACATTAAAATCCGAGCCGGACTGGGCCTGAACCGGCCGGGCCGGTTCGCCTAAAGCAGGGCCCGAGCCCGGACCGCCCATCACCCGGGCCGGGCCAAACCGAACTGCTGGACCCACCGGGCCCCGGGCCGGGCTGGGCCAAACAGTAACTGGGCCGGGCCGGTTCCGGGTTGGGCCGCCCGGCCCGAGTCCACCCCTATGCGGGACCGGCCCGGAAACTGGCCCGGCCTACCACTGTGCGGGACCGGATCGGATTGGTGAACCGGTTCTGGTACTGGGACTTGGCCCGAACTGGGGGGATTAAGGGGGCGGGTCCGGGGTTAGATATTTAGCCATTTAGGGACCTGCCCGGCCTGTTAGGGCCCGGTCTAGGCTTTTTATTTGTTTATTTTTGGTTTTTTTGGGTTTGGGCTAAGTTTAGGTGGGCTGGGCTGAGTGTTTTCGAGGGGTTTGGGGGGTAAACATTCCAAGCCTGGCCGGGCCCAAGCCTGAACCGGAACCGGACTGAGCCCGGTCCACCCCTACCTGTGTTTTATTGTTTGGAGTTGTTCTGTTTTATCATTTGACAAGCTTGTTGCCAGTGCCCAGTGGTTTTATAAAATGTTTAGAATAAAATAATACTACTTCTGTTCCTAAAAATTCTTTCCAGTTTGACTTGACACACTTATTAAGAAAGTGGAATAGTGAAAGTGTATGATTGTGGTTGTGTAAGAAAAAAGTAAACTGAATGTGAGCCACACAAATTGTCCAAAAAGGGAAAGTGAGAAATATTTTTGTGAACGGTCCAAAAAGGAAAGTGGGAAGTATTTTTGAGAATGGAGGGAGTATCGATTATGTATTAAGATATACGCAGTATCATTACTCTTAATATTAGGAGTAAATATTAACACTTTTTCAATCCTACTTTGTAATGATATGTGAAAGCGTTTATAATAATACGGAGTATTAAAATGATATGGAAGTACCCTTTGTTAAATATGCTAATCCCTATTATAGAAGCATAAACTTTAGGAAAAATTGAAAATAATAATCCCAACTATTGTCGGTCCACTAATAATAATCCCAACTATTGATTATTTTTGTATAATCCCAACTATATGGATCATCCGCCAATAATGGTCCATAGTCAGATATTACCTCCTATAAAAAGTGAATTTTAAATAGAAATTAAGTATAAAAATTAAAAGTTGCGATTATTTATAGGGATTACTTGCTATATCACGCCTCATTCACTTTAGAAACTACATAAATTTATTTATAGGGATCACTATTGGCGGAAGGTCCCTAAAGTTGGGATTATTCTGAAATAATCGATAGTTGGGATTATTATGAGTGGACCGCCAATAGTTGAGATTATTACTATCAATTTTTCCTAAACATTAAGATTTTGCAAATATATGTTATTAAAACAATTGGTCACAGTTTATTATTTGACTGAAAAAGTGATAGATGAAAAAGTGTTAAAAGCTAAAACCATTTTTTCAAATGACATCTTTTACTTTAATTAAATACTTATAAGCTAAAAGTTGAAGCAGGTAGAGAGGTGTCTAAGGTATTTTTTATTTTTCTATTACACAAAAAGTACATATATTTGCAAACACTATCTAATTTTAGTTTTTCAAAATCATTATTTTCTTAAGCACTATTATATTAATTTTTACTATTAAACATTTTCTCAAAAACCACTTCAAAAAATCACTTTTACAAGTAGAACCATAATGTATGATGAGAGACTTAAAAGACTTTTGTATGATTTTGAATCTAAAAGGAAAGTATATACTCCCTCCGTCCCTTATAACTTTGCCAACTTTCCTTTTTTGGATGTCCCATTAACTTTGCCACTTTCCCATTTAAGTAAAGAATCTGTGGTTCCATTTAATTCTCTCTCCTCTGCACAAACCTCAACCACACAGTTTTTACTTTATTAATCCCCGTGCCGGTCAAACTTGGCAAAGTTATTAGGGACGGAGGGAGTATTACGTTTGAGTCTGATACACCTAGTACATTTTTTATTTTATGATATCAATATAGGCGATTTCGTTTAAAAAGAATGAAAATATACACATCAATAATAAAGTTATCATCTGGATAAGATTTAACGAAAAACTAATACTCTGTATGATCGTATGTATCTATGTTACTTCTTCAGTCTCATTTTGGTTATTTCATTTTCTTTTTTAGCTTGACTCAAAATGAAAGTCCTTTTTCCTTATTTTTGACAAGAAATATTGTCTATATCATTTTAAATTATTTTATTTAAATATTAGCCATAATTTTTTTTTATATCAATCAGTTTATTACTCCGTAATAATTAAATGAAACAAAAATAAGACATTAAAAATGTTGTACTCCGTATTTAGAATGAATTTTACTTTATCTATTCAAGCTTGATCTAGTCTAATCGATTTAAGCCTAATCTAATCTAGTCTGTTTAAGTCTAATTGTATCTGGTCTTCCAATAATTGTTTGAAACTTTGAATTATTGGTTTAGAATATTAGAATATCGACATGTCGTTTCTAATTGTTTGAATTATTGTTCGTACAATAATTTACCGTCAAAGAAGAAAAGTCTACCCTATCAATAGTAGGACACTTAAAGAAAAGTCTCTCCCAACGTAAACTCTCTGCCACTCGAAAGAAACGAATCAAAACCGACTTCCCGTCTCTGTACGCTCAATTTGATAGACGTACACGTGTCGTCAATCTGTAGGTTACAAGGAGCGGTTTCGTCGTAAGTCGGCCAAACTTTTCCTATTTAAAGTCCCATCCACACCCACAAATCCTCATCATCTAATTTTTCTTCATCTCTATAAATCTCTCATCTTCTTCGACAAATATCAGATTTCAATTCCTTTTCTCTAAAGGTACGTAGCGATTTTAAGTTTTGATTTTCAATTTGTGATTTGTTATTCTGTTTATGATCTTTAATTTGAATGATTTCTCTGAGACGATGATCGGGTGTTGATTTGATTATTGTTTGTTTTGATTTCCGCAGATGCAGATCTTCGTGAAAACCCTAACCGGCAAGACGATCACTCTCGAAGTCGAGAGCTCCGACACGATCGACAACGTCAAGGCCAAGATCCAGGACAAGGAGGGGATCCCGCCGGACCAGCAGAGGCTGATCTTCGCCGGCAAGCAGTTGGAGGACGGCCGCACCCTCGCTGATTACAATATCCAGAAGGAGTCGACTCTCCATCTGGTTCTCCGGTTGAGGGGAGGGATGCAGATCTTCGTGAAAACCCTCACCGGTAAAACCATAACCCTGGAGGTGGAGAGCTCTGACACCATCGACAACGTAAAGGCTAAGATCCAGGACAAGGAAGGGATCCCTCCGGACCAGCAGAGGCTGATCTTCGCCGGGAAGCAGCTTGAGGACGGCCGCACCCTGGCGGACTACAACATCCAGAAGGAATCAACTCTCCATTTGGTCCTCCGATTGAGGGGAGGTATGCAGATCTTCGTCAAAACCCTCACCGGGAAGACCATAACCCTCGAGGTTGAAAGCTCTGACACTATCGATAACGTGAAGGCCAAGATCCAGGACAAGGAAGGAATCCCCCCAGACCAGCAGAGACTCATCTTCGCAGGAAAGCAGCTCGAGGATGGCCGTACCCTCGCTGACTACAATATACAGAAGGAGTCAACTCTTCACTTGGTTCTCCGGCTCAGGGGTGGTATGCAGATTTTTGTGAAAACCCTGACCGGAAAGACGATTACCCTGGAGGTGGAAAGCTCGGACACGATCGATAATGTGAAGGCAAAAATTCAAGACAAGGAGGGGATTCCACCAGATCAGCAGAGGTTGATCTTCGCAGGTAAGCAGCTGGAAGATGGCAGGACCTTGGCCGACTATAACATTCAGAAGGAGTCCACTCTGCACCTTGTCCTTCGTCTCCGTGGGGGTTTCTGAACTGTTCTTTAGCTTTGTTGTGTTTCATCTATGTCAATCTTTCCTTTGTTTCTGTCATGTCTGTTTAAATAATTGAATTTTCATTTGTGTGAAATCAAGTTGTTTGCAATGTTTTAATTTTGTTTAATTTCCCAGCAGTTCCAAAAGTGCAACCTGTCTGAGATCACTCCATATCTGAGCATAACAAGCAACACATACCACCTAAAACACTGAAATTGAACTACTTTGTCTTGAGATAGTTGTTTCTGCCTAGTGTTTTTGCATTTCATCACAACTCCAGTTGAACTTCTTGTGAGATTTTAGTAGTGTTTTTGCAGTTCCTAACTCCACTTCAAGACGATTAGAATTAAATGCGATGCTGGATCCTATTGTTAATATAGGAACTGCTATGATAAACTCAAGTCGGAGTATGTGAGTTTTTTTAGGGTCTGATTAGATGTTTTGTCACATAATTTAAAATCCAACCTTCTTAATCAGATAAGTGATGCGTATAAGAATACAAAAACAATGTCACTATATTTAATGTAGGTGGTTCGTCAATATGACTTGCCAACTACCAGGTACAGGACGGATTCGGATATAGTATTTCTTATATGTATGGAAACTGTTTTTGGTGCTTTAAATACTCCGAAAATAAAATTAAAATGCTACCACATCATAGCATATGATCGACATTTCTCCTCAAATACAAAACCAGATCAACCAAAGACAATTTGTACTGCATACCAAATAGGCAATGCCTTCACAGCAATTTTTGCTTTCATAAAGTGGGCTAACTCTATGATGGATTGATACAAATTACAAAG